ATCATCTTTTGCATTAAATTATATTCTCTCTGTATTATTTTAAATAATTTTTAAAGTTTCTACACACAAATTAAGAAACTATTTAATTTTTTATTTTTTAACATAAAACCACCAATTTCAATACAATTTAACCAATAGAAAACTATTCTGCAGAATTTAAAGAGTCAAAAACAATAAAAACATAATTAATTTTACTTTGAAAATTTAAAACATTATCTAATTTGAGATAAAAAAATCTATTTAAAAAATCATTTAATATGATATGGAAGAAGTAATTATTTCTCATCTTTACCTAGTTTTGCTAGCGTTTTACAAGTTATCTGTTCCGGTTTGTATCGAATAATTTGTTTTTCTCTTTACTTTCTTGTTTCTTTTAGGTAGTTATTTACTTAGCTATACTTTTTCTTTCGACAAGAAAAGGAACCAAAAAAAGGAGAAAAAGAAGGAAGAGGTGTGGCTAATCAAATCATCCTGTTTCTATTTATTTAATTTTAGATTTTAGTAATGTTTGACCAAAAGTTATCAACAATTGAATTTAGATTTTAGTAGTGTTTGACCAAAAGTTATAAACTTTGAATGGATCTATCAGAATATTATATTGAATAGAAACTGTTTATTTTGGGAGGTATTTAGTGTTATGTTTCTCTGCGTGGAAACTAGTTGATTTCATCCATATATACAAGAAATGCAATTAATTATATGTCTGTAGTTTTGTACCTTAAATTACAGCTTAAGAAGGATTCATCAGATAAATAAACGACTAATAAAGATGGATCAACATATAACACAAAAATATATATAATACAACTAAATATACAAAGAAAATTTGAGAGAAGGACACCACTTCTCGAGTTTCGGATTGGTTTGAACAATCGCATTGTCATCACTTCGTCTGATTCCATTAATATTTGTGTTAGTGTCGAGTCGACGGACTGAAAACCATGTATGTATATGTTTTCATGTTTTTTAAACTTTTTTGCCATGGATTACATTGTATAAGGCTACAATCTCGATTGTAATCTTGAATCGATTCATTTTTAATGAAATATTTACCATTTAGCAAAAAAAAAAAGACACCACCACATAAGGAACTAGCCCTTAGTCCCTTACTAACTAAGATCCATATTAATTGGGACGAACTAATTAACATATGAAACAGTAAAATCCAACTATATCTAATCAAATACGAATCACACATATGTTTATTTATCAGGCAAAAAATTCTTAGATGCCCTGAAAGATCACAATGATCAAATATAGATCCGTTTGAAAGTGAAAAACCTAAAACAACAAATAGATAGTAAACAGATGAAAGTAGGATTTCG